ATTTGCAAAATACCCCCATCATACTGCTAGTATGCAAAGTATTATAAAGTAGATATTATATCATTTACAATATAATAATAGTAGACAAAGCCATAAATTTGTTTCATCCATTATTTCACAAAAAATATTTGAAAATGTATATTAACTTATTATTGGACAATTGTTATCTTTTGAAATTTATCTTTAACGCCATTAATAATTCTTTTACAAATAAAGACGATGAGTACTCCGCCAAAAACTCAGTGTTGATAGTGACGATATCAAATTAGTTAGCGGCCTGGCAAAACCGATAACCACACACATAAACAGGAGCCCATTTCTGTGCTCACCTTCGGCCCGAAACCTTTAAGGGGACCCTAAAAACGATTGGTAATAGAAATAGCACTTGTAACGATGCACCCCGCAGTGCATTGTTTTGACCAGATACCAGATGCTAAGAGTATTAGATCGTACCCGGTCAATTAATCGAAAACAATTGATCGAAAACAATTCGTCGAAAATTAATTGATCGAACAGGCAATTGATCGAAAGGACAATTCATCGAAAGAAAATTGGTCGAAATGATAATTAGTCGAAAGTATAATTTATCGAAAGGATAATTGATCGAATGAACAATTGATCGAATGGACAATTGATCGAAAGAACCCACTGATTGAAATGACAATTAATCAAAAGGACACAACTCTACTTAAAAAAAAATATATATATATATTTTTTTTAAGAGGTGTGAATTTGTTTATAAAGCAATGAAATTGTTTGTGAAACAGTTAGTTTGTTTATAATATTTTGATTTTCTTAACACGAATTCCAATCCCTTCCTCTTCCAAGGATACACGATTTTCATAATTGTACTGTTGCACATAAGTTTCGACTTTTACGCAAAGCGAGAGTTACCTCACACCACAAAATGGGTTGGGTTAGATTATTTTTAACAGTAGTGGAGCCCCCCCTCGCAGGGGGGCGGAACCTACTGCATCTACGCATACACTTTTCACGCTAAGTGAGATCTATATCACACCAACAAATGGAACATTCCGAATTTGTTTGTAAAGCAGTGAATTTGTTTGTAAAGCAGTGAATTTGTTTGTCCTTTCGATTAGTTGTCATTTTGATCAGTGGTTCTTTCGATCAATTGTTTATTCGATCAATTATCCTTTCGATAAATTATACTTTCGACCAATTATCTTTTCGATCAATTTTCTTTCGATGAATGTCTATTCGACAAATTATCTTTTCGATGAATTGATTTTCGATCAATTGCTTTCAATCAATTGTTTTTCTATCAATTGACACCAAATCGCGTTAGATATTTCGCGATATAAGAATAACTGCCGCCGCCGACAATAGCAATTGTCGATCCGACCGAATATCGCTGATCGACAATCCCCTCCGTAAGGATCGCCGACCGTAACCGAAGAATAACAGAACAAAACGAGCGGAAGCAACAATTAGTATAAAATACGCAATTGTTGCTATGATCGCTCAATTCCGTCCAGCTCCTTGTTCCGTTTAAATACCACTCTCCAGAATCTGAAAGCCAGTGACTTAACGAGAAAAGAGGGTAGAGCGTTCTCTGCACTTCTGCAGTCGTACGCCAGCTTCCTTGTGTCCACAGGCAACCGACAAGAAAAGGGGGTAGAGCGTTCTCGGTTGTCGACTGCCCAGTGCCCGTGCGACCGTACTTCTGTTTCAACTAGCGAGCCGACGAGAAAAGGGGATAGAGCGTTCTCGACAGTCGACCGCACATGCTTTCTTGTCAATACCGCAAAGCGTTTCTCATTGCATCGAGGAAACGCTCGCCGATTATTCGCGCCGTGATATCCGTCGCTGGCGTATACCTGCGTACGCGAACGACCCGCGTCATAATACCGCCGACCGTGCTCCGCGAATCCCGCGTCCGTCTAGTATAGGGATTTAAAGATCCCACGTGCTAATATTGTATTCGCGCCGTAATCGACCCGCCGTTTTTGTGTTCGCGATTCTGTCATTGTCTCGTATACATTACGTCTGTTACTCGTCCTGTTGACACGCACGCACGCGCGCACACGCACATACACACAACGCGCCGTTACACTCACATATCGCGATTCACCTGCGACACACACACACACACACACACACACACACACACACACACACACACACACACACACACACACGCACGCACGCACACGCACACACGCACTTTTGTAAATACATACACGAATAAACGTTTATTTCTTGTCTCAAATACCTATTTATTTCTGAATTCTCTCTCCGTGCGAACCTCTTACCGCGACTCGTATAATTCCGACGAGCTAATCCGCGCGGAAGTTAGGTTGTTTCACACAGATGACTACGTGTAATTAACACGTCACTACACTGCATCAATATCTCACGCACGTCACACATACATAAATGTTCATATCGCAATTACGTTTTGATTAGACATCTAAATTCAATTTTAAGAATTCCATGCTGTTTCTTTATGCAAACTACTTGTCTGTGGACTACTATTTCATAAGTACAGATTACACAGCTTTTATATGAAGTAATATTGTCATAATGTGCAACGACATAACAGCTCTGAAGCATCATATTGAACTAAGGGTCGATTGTTCCATCTTTCGAAGTTTATCTATAATATTAGGTAAATCTGGCAATCCGCGCACGTGACTGGGTAATCTTGCTACTTACCTAACAGGTCTGAAGACACGGTAGTGTCTCGTAAACTTTATCAAAAGATAGAATAATCGGCCCTAAGAAATGGTAAAATAGAACTCAATTGCGAAATTTTTTGTAATAACATATAACATAAAATTGCAAAATAACTTGAGTCTTTATTCATTTTTACAACTTTCATAGGTATGAAACAAGTCACCGTTTCACAATAAAACATAACGAAAAAGCATGCACGTCATTTTTCACGCTTATTAGTTCAATCTTTTATTGTGGTGAGACGCTGTAACACATATACAAGCATGGCCGTAGCATGTAAGCTCATGTCTGTGTTCTCGCCTTCAGCTCGAAAATAGGCACATGAATACATGGGCTTTGTGTGACTATTGATTTTACTAGGCAGTCGACTAATTCGGTGTCGCCACATCAATGTGAAATTCTTGACTGACTCAGGAGCCTTAAAACGAATCAAAACTAAAAAATTTTGGGTCATTTTCATACAAAAAAGAATGTCAAACTTTGTTGCATCTTTTTTTAATACATCATACATCTATCTTTTAATATCATACATTTAGTGTAATAGAATTTTGCCTTCTACATACATTGAATAAAATTATTTAGGCACAAAAAACGATTATGGATGTAATGATGACGTCAATTATAAAATTAACTGTACAGGGTATCTATCATGGATAATGTTCAATTATTCCGTAGATTTCTATTGTGTTTTTTAGGGAAAATAATTCTGATCGGAATCCATTCCGACTTTGTTCCATGATACAGGGTGATTCAGAACGACCGCGTGTTCTTGTAAAGACGTGTTTCTGACTGAATTCTGAGACGATTTTTCCTTTACGATAATTTTATCCGATGCTTACTTTTTGAATTATTAAGAGATAAAGCTATCGAATTACGAGCCACGCATAGAAGGTGAGCAGGGGCGGCGCACTCACCGTCTGACGCGAGCGAACACGAGGGGTACTCGTTGCGATCAAGGACATAGAGTTATTCTTTAATTTAATTTAATTCAGTTTCATAACACGCATCCTCCCTCCTTTTCTCCCCTCTCTCTCGCTTACTATGCAGAGATTAGTTATCTTTAAACTGCTTTAACTTGACGAATAACTTTCACAATCGGAAGAACTGGAAAAGCAATACGAAGACACTTCACGTTTCCTTGTAACAAATTAACGTTAAGTAATAAAACAGGAATTCGTTTATCTTTTAATAATATGTAGTATCTAAAACACTTTCACTGATTTACTAATGCATTTAATCGATACTTGTCGACACCACATGTGGAACGATTGACGAACGATTCTATCGATTATCATTATTCTATCTTATCATTATTAATTAATACTGGTTAATTATTTATTTCTAAATCACTTGTAAGGAACGCGTTACATACACAATCCAACGTGATCCGACGTGAAGACACGATGACAACAATCCAAGAGGGAAGTGCTTTAAGAGTTGCAGCGCAAAAATCGAAAATGCTTGGAAATAGTAGCACATAAATCAGAGAATTATTCTACATAGAGTATTTAATTTTTAAAAACTTAGATGTGAACATGTCCGTCCTCTCCAAGAGGGAAGTGCTTTAAGGGTTGCACCGCAAAAATTAAAACTGTGCATATAATAGCACAAATTCTGTGTTTTCAATTTTCCAATTCGATTGTTTTTAACGGGTGGAGGGGGGCGACTTGCTGCCTACTCAGCCCCCCACAAAAAATTTTTTTTAGGTAAACGGAGCGCAAAAATTTTGATTTGCGGATATGTATAGCTCATAAATAGCGCATTATTATACAATTTTTTAAATTAAGATTTGGTTAAGTGGGGGGGCCAGCTAGGCAGACGTGAATAGCCCTATATATCTCTATTGTTCGTTCATTTTTTCAAATTTACATATTTGTTGCTAAGAATTTTCTTCATTTTATTTTGATGTACCATTTTTTTTCATAAATCTGGCGTTATTATAATGATTATTTTCGGTTTCTGCGAAGAAAAATACAAAGTAACATAAAAATAAAATAAAACGATCCCCGAGCGGTAGCGAAACACTTGAAAATTTTTACTTTCCTTTGTTTAGAATATTTTTAAATTTATTTTATATGTGATCTCAAACTATTGGCCAGCAGTGTATATAATTAAATAATTTTCTTTATTATTATTTTAACATTATGTAAGAATAAATTTTAATCAAAAATATTACATACAATGATACTTCTATTCACTGCGATAATGTGTTGGTTTACTTGCTGCATGACAAAGTTACTTTGCTGTACAAAAGATATTTGTATATTTTTCAAAATAGCGTATAATAATTTGGGAATATGCAGGAACCGAAGATGGTGTGAGGACCAGAAGCAAAGCTGAATCACAGCCTTACGAATGGACTACGGTGCCTGTACTAGTAAAAATTTTTAAAGTAATAATCAACGAATTGTCGAATGACATCGAAGCCATTAGCGCTAGCCAAGATACGGATGTAAATATCGGCCACGCTTTTGTATTTTTGCTCTTAATCTTTCATTATTTATTTTATTTTATCAAAATAATATATAAATTTTGATTACAAAACTTTCATATTAATATTCAGGTTTCTGACGATGAGGATGAAGAAGATGATGAATTAATAGATCCCGGAAATGAAGGTTTAAATATTTTACGTAAGTTATGTTTAATCTATAATTTATGTAAAATTTAGGAATTATTAATAAAAGAGTGCTATCAAATATGATTTTTTTATAGAATTTGGAAGTACGGATGAAGATAATGACGATGAAGATCCAGAATTATTGCAGGACACCATTTATCATTTGAACCTTGGCCAGTATTTGCGCGATTTTTTGCTAAATTTCTCCACTCATCATTGCTTTCGCATGTATATTCAACACCTGAATGTGCCAGAACTAAAAGTCTTGAATAATATAAATATCAGTGCACTCATATAATAGAATAAGTAATTTAGTTGCTCGGAACAATTTTGAAATTTCATAATAAATGACCAATCATTTTTATAATCGATTGTTTTGTACCTTGTTTTTATATTCTTTGAATTAGATTTTGTCTCATTTTTCATTGTTCAATAAAAAATAATTTCTTTTTCTCGAGTACAAGGATGAGGACATCGATGAGATAGCATTAGACATTCGCAGAGGAATTAGTGTGACCACTCCAGGCCTGGAAATTGAAGAACGCTGACATCAACTATTCCAAATATAAATATATAATTAAGATTTTTTTATTTAATTATTGTTTTATCATTGGGTGAACGCTCACTCAGTTATTGAGTCTGCACAGCCATTCAGAAATGTAAAAATCTTTAAAAGGATGCTAGAGTGATGACAGAATTATAAACACATTACAGATGTATGATGTATACTGGTATCTCTGAATTGGCTGAACAAAATAGAAAATTCTTTTACAGAATTGAAGCAGATGTAAAATTAGAAAGTAGAGAAGTTTATTCTTTGGTAAATATTTATTTTAAGAGAGGCTTCTCCGATGACCTTGGCATATGTTGACTTACCCTGAGTGACTTCCAACAAATTTTAGCCGTCGCTCGTTATTCATTAAAAAATTATCAAGAAAAGTCTAAGAAATAATACGTATTTAGCTTTATACGTTTAATTTTCAAAACTTCCGCACTTAATCAGTCAGAAGATGTATAGGGCCGATTCTATTTTATATTATTATAAAATTTATAAAACTTAAAAAAAAAAATTGATGAAAGGTTCATTTGATCAGACCAGGTTTTTTGTACGTTTTTGGGGTCGCTGAACACGAATCTGAAGTCCGTTTTCCTTCATCACGTCAGGAGTTTTTCCTAACCTCAAGAAACATGGCGGATTTCATGTAACCGGAAAACTTTTAAATAACGACGGATTTGCTTGAAACTTGGTATTTGGGGTTTTTTGGGGTCGCTGATTACGAATATGAAGTTAGATTTTGAAAATAAATATATTTATTCCGCCATGTTTCTTGAGGTTAGGAAAAACTCCTGACGTGATGAAGGAAAACGGACTTCAGATTCGTGTTCAGCGACCCCAAAAACGTACAAAAAACCTGGTCTGGTCAAATGAACCTTTCATCAATTTTTTTTTGTGGTCCTGTGTAATTCATGCACTTTCTCTTTATATATTTACATTACTAATAGACATGTGTTGTATTATAAAATTATCAGTTAAAAATCAGACGCTCAAGTATAAGCACATTACACTAAATAAGTGAACAAAGTAATGTAATCTACGACGTAACCTACTCAATTTTTAGTAAATTAATCGATTCAATCTCTCAAGATATCTTCTTTGTATTGTGTAAATTGAGTAACTTTTTATTCACGGAAAGTGCTAAATGTTCATAGTGCTTCTTATATTGTTTTCCACAGTGTATTCTGTAATTTTCAATTGATACATAAATATTAGAATTTTACTTTAAAATTTTTGCTATTGTAAAAATAGCAATTTAAACTATCAGTTCTTCCTAGAGTGTTTTCTTAAAAGTGTGTATAATCACAGTGATATCATATACCAATATCATCACATTATAAAAAATCTTTAATGTATTTTACTTTTATTAATTATGAAAATTTACTTATATTTATAACAAGCATTCATGCTCCAGCGAGATACGAACTGGAGGCATGCCAAAATGAGAGGACCAAATCAATGCGTCCACTGCGGTCGAGTGATTCTTCGGAACTGAGCACTCACTGGTCAAAGCTAGATCAAGAATGGCAAAATTATGTAACAAACCTTAAAATTTTACAGAACGTTACGTGAGGGAAAGCCTTAAAACGTGCAAATTTATTACTAACCTTGCATTCACTTTTACTTAAGTCGCCTTCGATCTCGACTTGGCGAAGATCGTCTTATTTAGCTTCACGTACGTCAAATAAGATGACTTATAATGACTATGAATTCGTAAAGTCTTAAGTTTATGCTTATTTGAAACAAGATTTGTTTATGAATCATTTGAAGATGTGCCCAAATAAGATCACCTTCACCAAGCAACAGTTGCTTAGTTGCTTTCCATTTACTCCGATTCTCAGATAATTCTCACTTGTGACGTCATAATTCAGTTGAATGCGCGTTCCTTTTGCATTCTGAGAAGTGAGATTCAACTGAGTTTTTACCTACAAACTGCACAAGATCGAGATCGTGTGCTTTATTGAGTCTCGTAGACTCACTTTAAAAGTGAGGTTATAAACCTGTGTTGTTATTTGTTAATTTTACCAAAGTAAGCAAGTAGTGACGTTATTAACCCTTCCTCGACACACCTATTTTTTGAATCAAATACGCCAGTGCGGGTCAATGTGACCCGAGACGAACTTTGATCGCTCGCCATTCAGTCATGAATGCACCGATTGACCTGAAAAAATTCTGACGTATACTTTGGACATACTTAAATGATATCCGATCATAAAAAAAGTATTAAAAATTATTAACATGCTTAAAAAAAATTCACGAAAAATTTTTTTTTTGAAAAAATCAAGTTTTACGAAAAAAATTTTTTTTTAATTTTCAATGGAATTAGCTAAAATTTGAAATGTAGGTTCTTGAAACATAGATAAATATGTGAAAAAAAATTTATCACCGACGCTCACCGGCTACTGAGGGCTCGGGATCGCGAGGAAATCATCCACAGAGTTCAATCCCTCGACTGCCACCAGAGGGCCATGAAACCGCCGTTATTTGAATTGCCAGAAAGATATAAGCGTTCAAACTGAACCAACGGGTCACATTGACCCATAGTGTCGAGGAAGGGTTAATCTGAGTATTTTACACTCAGCTCACTTCAGACTCAGTTTCACTTGTGTGTAAATGGAAAGCAACTATTGTCTTGAAATTTTTCTTAAGTATCTACTTGTTTCGTGACTATGAATCGAAACGCCATCTTAAGACTATGCTTAAGACGGTCTTGAATATAAGAACTGACTATGAATATGGGCCTTCTCGAAAAGTTTGAGAGACAAATTGAAGAATTTCGAATTACAAATACTTCCTAAAATATGATGCAACGAATATGCATCTTACTGTAAGTAACCAATTAACACATACTCATTGAAACAATTACGTAAGTTTTAAATAATCTTTCTTTTTTATCATTTTTATTTTTACCATTTGAATTTATAAATAGAAACTAAAAAGACAAATGAAGAGTCAAACATTAAAATTTCTTTAATCGCGTAGTCAAAAGATAAAATGAAATAATATAACATGACAGGAAAGCGAGAATAAATTCGACGATATAAAAATATACATATATATAAAAAAAACAAGAACAGACTTAATACAAAAATAAACAACCATAATCATAAAATCTATAAAACTTTACATGTTTCGACTCGTGGATTGAGTCTTCCTCAGAAGTAACAGACAAAAAACCATGGTGCAGATAAATCATTGATGAAATAAAGATGCATCCGTCATCAAGATAAGGAATTCATTATAAACGATTGGTAGATCGATAATAAATCTATAAAAGAATTCCGACATTACCTTTTTGTAAACTATAGGATTATTAATATATAAATGATTAACAAGAACTAAAATTTTAAGTTTCCAAACCTTAATAAATGGATACATCAGCACACGCTTATCATATAACAGGTTGTCAAGCTTGTCGAAATACATAATAAATCTGTTAGACGACGACACGAAAGCAGAAAATTAACACGTCTGTACGATACAAAAATTAGCTATGATCTAAAAAGGTAGCAGCACAGCAAAGTCAAAGAGCCACCCTAAAAAAAAGGTCAAGGGGGTAGGGGGGGGGGCGGCAGTAAAACTTGAGTAGAAAGGAGCATTTTCAAGAGTCTGCATTGACATGTCTTAGATCACTACACAATTTGCGTCTGCATTGACATGTCTTAGATCACTACACAATTTGCGTCTGCATTGACATGTCTTAGATCACTACTATTATTTTTTTACTACAAAAAAGGCTCACAGTGGGACGAAACGCAAAAATGTGTTCAAAATCAAATATCTCCAGATGGAATCGATGAAAGTGAATAAAACTTTTTGAGGACTATTCATTATTTTTTTCCTTAATTGGTAGATCTTTAGCTTTCGTGAAAGTTTCATTCACTTTCATCGATTCCATCTCGAGATATTTGATTTTGAACATATACGTTAAAACCAGTTTACTAACTCCGAAGGGTTATGTTTTTATGTTTTTACAAAAGGACTAACATGGTGGGGACTATTTTCATTATTTTTCCCTTAATTGGTAGTTCTTTAGCTGTCACTTCGTGAAAGTTTTAGTCACTTTTATCGATTCCATCTGGAGATATTTGATTTTGAACACATTTTTGCGTTTCGTCCCTGTGCTGCTCCATTCAGAGGGTCCCATTGAAACCCCTATTTCTAAAAAATGGGGGACATGCTCAATCTGATATTTTCCTACAAGGCATGTACCATTACAAACTTTCATTTTACGCGCATTTCGACTTAAAATTTGAGGTCTTGAAAACAGGCGGATTTTAGGGTGGCTCTTTGTTTATCAACGGAATGTATGTCTCATGAAGATTTTCAGTGTCTGTTTGCAAATTTAAACTGTTCTTCTGTTTTTTAATGTTAATCATTTCAGACACTATGCGTTTCCTGTAATTAGATTCATCAAGAATTTCTTCATTCCATCGAAAGTCATGGCCGTGCTGCAACCTATGTTCGATAATCACTGAACGAGTTGTCGTGTTACGTTTAATATGGTTACGATGTTCAGATATTCTCGTTTTCAATTGTCTACTTGTTTGGCCGACGTAAGACGCATCACAATCATTACATGAAATTTTATAAACTACGTTGTTTCTAGAGTCTTTTGAGAGGGAATCTTTTTGTACTTTAACATATTTACTCATTTTATTCGGGCTACGAAAAGAAACTCTGATATCATTATTATGAAATCTTTTAAATTTTTCCGTGTGACACGGAACAAAAGGTACAGTAAGCCAAGAAACAGACTTTGAA